TCTCGAGTTGAAAGTGGGTGACAAAAAGTGCGAACACACAGACACACACACACACACACACAGACACACACACACACACGCACACACACACACAGACCGCCTCTTCCCAATATGCGTTTTTGCAATTTATATATATTGCAAAAAGGCATAAAAATGATTGTTACGCGCGTAATTATTATTAAAGTATAAATAGGGGATGAAGACATTTAACCTAATAGCGACATTTTCGATGCTAAGCTGAATGCGATCATATGGCACTGGGGAGAGAGTAACCCGCTGTGCACACTGATATTTCGTAATCATGATGTTTGATAGGTAGGCACAACCATTCACCTGAAATATTCACCCGTCTTCAAGTATGCGGACTCATCATTAAGTTGCTGTTACCTTCCTGAATAAACTTTCTAGCAGTTCGAAAAATGCAACCTGTTTCTGAGAACTACTGAGTACTAAAGGCAACAACAAAAAGGAATTTTTTTAAGTCATCACAATCGCTTTTGGCCTATTTGTTGGGAATGTAATGAAATGTGAAAGTTGTCGCTTTTGCGATCATTCGTGATTCGGATCGATACTCCAAAATTTCAGCTTCCTAGCTTTCCCTTTTCTGAAGTTGAAACACCACGACGGATGGGCGAGCAGTCAGGAAGGCAGACGCAACAAAAGCACCCGCGAAAAGATGTGCAATAAAAAAGTCTGGCAACTAAAGCCTTTGAAATAAAAAAAAAAGAAAAAACAAAAGCAAAATAATATTTTCGATAGTGACTCACTTCAGGAAGACATTGACTGAACGGAGGTATTCGAACTTTTGGTACTTCCTGATTTATCATTTGCGAGATCAAAGTGCTTGCGTAACGGAATGCCCCTCCGTTGACCCGTATTTTAAGACCCGGATAACCAATATGACCATTGGATTGTAAAGACGGATTAAAGTCTGCCCATTTTATGCTGTAATACACACTTTGTGCAGTTTATGCACCGGCAATTGTCCTAGACAAATGTTAAATGGTGGAGCACAAAATCAATTAAATTCAAGTACAAAACTAACGCTTAAAGTATTTTTACTGGCTAGATAATTGACTGAATAACATAAAACTTCGTATGCTGTTCAGTTGGTCTAGCGAGTGGCTTGGCCAGGAGTTTCAAAGAGCAGTGAAAATTTTTGATCAAAGACAGAGGATGTTGTTGATTTTGTTAGATTGATGCCGAACACCAGATTCAATTCCCTACTAATCCTGATTTGCACAGTTCTAGTTAGTATTCACTGTTTATTCTCTGTGTATGCGTCATCTCTTCTAAGGCCATCCGAATAATTGGCAACTCAACCAGTTGTCCGCATTGCGGACAACTTGTCCTGTCCAGCGAATTTTACAAGCATTGTGAAATAGAATAATTCAAAAAAGATATTAGGATGTCCAATAAAGTTAACGCTTCCCTCCCCTCCCTTTTTTCCCCTCTCCTCTCCCCCTGCTCAGTTTATCACATTCCGCTGCACTGCGGTATACTCGAGCCGTTTTCACTAAATTTAATCCCTATTTTCATCCAAATCTCATATTACTAAATTTGGCAATTTTCTGAGAATACAAATAGCATATATTCAGCCTCCGACAAAAGGACGCTCCTCAGACCTGATTCACTCGATAAAATGAAACTTCCTGGCGATGACGTTGTGCCCGGCTAAGTAATTCATCATTCTTTTTCCACCTCACTAATTTCAGCATAGCATTCGTTAGACAACAAGCTTTAGCATTTTAGACATTTTTTGTTTTTCAGCCCAATTTAACCCTTCACGGACAAGCTGACTTGCCGATGGTAACTTGCCGTTTTTGTAATTAGTTGTTGTTCAAGTATATAAAGGAATATTATTTGAGCTGGGA